GCTTAGCAACATGTTAATTACAAACGCTGAAATTAATTGAGTTAGGTCTTATTATAATTATGATACTTTCTAAGAACATTGTCACTTTTAATAGTTATGATTCAGAACTAAAAACACAAAACTTACAAAAAAAAAAAAAAAAGATTTCATTAAAATTGATTATTTTACCCAATACTTGCTTGTGTGTATGGTTATTAGAGTATTGCATTTTTAGCTTAGGAACAGGCTAATTCCAAAGTACTTAAATTAATTGTGTCAAGTCAAAATAGTCATACAAGTCATACTTTTTAAGATATTCCATTGACTATCTTACCATTACCGTTGACTTACAATACTAAAATAATATACAAATAAAAATAATCGAATCTAATATCTAATTAAAATTAATTGCTTACTCAATATTTTTGTGTTCTGTGTTGAAATCAATTTTGAGTCAAGATTATGTATAATTATGCTTCTTTCTAAGATACCTCATTTGACTAATAAGTATGATTATTTCAGTGGTGATATAATATGAAAAACAATAAAAGAATTATAATTAAAGATCTCTGATCTGTTTTACCCAAATATTTGTTATATATATATTTTTATACCTGTTAGAGTATCCTGTTGTTAGCTTAGCATCCTGCTAATGCCAGACTCTGTTGAAATCAATTGTGAGTCATGTATATCCTGTGTGCTTCATTCAGTAATCATAGTTTCTATGAAAATCAATTCAGACTGGTCACTTTTAAGGTTTCACATCAGGGTTCTGTCTTAAAACAAAGCAGCTCACTAGGCTGATATTAAGTCTCACTTTTAAGTAGCAATTGTGGAATGTAAAGACACAATTACAATATATAAGATCTCATTTATATACATATTTTTAATCCCTGTGGAAAAGATAACAAAGCAGAACCTCTTGGGTCCATAATCCTTCCTTGCACACCCTGTGTCATGACTTGTTGTTTTATTTTTGATTTGATGTTTCTTTTAACTCACTAGTTTCAGAGTTATATTTTACTGGGTCTGTAAAAATGTAACACCTGTAGAAGTGACATTACTCAGTGTTTCGCTAAAACAGCTGATGCAAACATGCAATATTACAAAACACTCATTGAAATGCTCATTTAAAGGCAAGAGCCCTCAAAATGTTGATAATCAGGTTTAGAACTTACTGCTTAAAAAAAACAAAAAACGGACTCAGAGATCTTCCTTCCTTCCTTGTATATTCATGTTGAATTTGTTGAAAACACTTTCTAATATCTAAAACTTTTTTTATTCATAGGCGTAAATGATGCACACTCCTGTAAAATGGCACCTGGTTTTACACTCATTTATCAAACTGTATGAGGGGTATAAAACATATCCGCTCTTGTTTATATGGTCATATCAACTGTATTTGCTTAGGCTATAGTAAGTTTGTGTTGGATTGCTCAAGGCAATTATTTGATGGGACTGTGCAATACTCTGAGTTTGCTGGTAGTGCTGGAAATAAATGCATGATGTTAACTTCAAAAATTACACTCGAGTTGTGAGGGATCTGAGTCATTTACTGAGAACACAATCTCATCTATCTATCTATCTATCTATCTATCTATCTGTCTGTCTGTCTGTCTGTCTCTGTCTACAATAGCTTTCTCTCTGTCTCTGTGGCAGTCTATCTATTACAGAATGTTTATGGAACCACTGTAGCACCCTAAACAGTCTCACACCCTCGACTGAACGATTGGGACACAAATTACTTAGCTAATTTCACTTCCATATGTATGCTCTTTACTACAGGGAACTCAAAACACATTCACAATTTCGATCATGTGAAATGTCATTAAAAACTGTGATGTGTGATGCGATGCCATCCCTCATGATGTGCAGAGAATTTGTTGGAATGGAACAGCTGGAGATGATGATGGCCCTAATAAAAGTTCAGCTCAGAGCAGAAAGAGAAGTTGCAGTAGCAGGTGTGACAGACATGTCCCCTGGCAGGGAGCTTTTTACACATCTGTTAATGCACAGCGCCACTCCCATGGGACCTGTCCCGCATCTGACATTCTCTTGGAAATATCAGACTGCCATTTGGAACACTTTGAGCTTACCGTGCCTTAAAGTTTTTATTTGCATTACCCTGTACCGAGCCTTAAAGGGATAGTTCACCCAAAAATGAAAATTCTGTTATCATTTACTCACCCTCAGGTTATTCCAAACCTGTATGAGTTTCTTTTTTTTTCTCTGTTGAACGCAAAAGAAGATATTTTGAAGAATATGGGTAACCAAACAGTTGATGGTCCCCATTGACTTCCATGGTATGGAAAAAAAAAAATACTATGGAAGTCAATGGGGACCACCAATTTTTCTTTTTCTTTTTCTTTTTCAAAATATCTTTTGTGTTCAACAGAAGAAATAAACGTATACAGGGTTGAAACAACTTGAGGGTGAGTAAATGACAGGATTTTCATTTTTGGGTGAACTATCTCTTTAAGGTCGTAAGGTCAAACTAGTGCGTGACTAGAAATTATAGTCATTCAGACGAGCCGGAGCGCGGACTCAGGTCGAATGGAGCACTGTTGTGTCTGGATATTTAGATGTTTCACATTAAGTATTGTAAACTCATACTCATGCTGACTTTAGTCTGGAATCTGGCACCTGACAGCACCTTCCTGTGATTCTGAGGGAGGTTGTGTCATGAGCGGTGATCCATTGAGGTGAAGACGAATCAGCGTGGTAGATGGCATCACTCAACGGCTGCTCAGACGATGAGAAGGAGGAGAGTCTGGCAGGATGCCGAGCCTCATCACTCTGTGAGGTTGCACTCATCTGATGCTCTCATAGGCCAGCTTGGAATGTCAGTGGGTGAATTAGATTCAAGAGCGGAAGCCAATTTGTTGTTAGTGTAAATCCTAGTAAAGAGAAGAAAAATGTAAGCAGCTGTACACTTGTCATGCTTATTTTCGAAGGATTCTTGTGAAGATATAAATAAAGCATGAACTTTCAACATAACATCAGGTACAAAAGACCAAAAGGGTTCATTTAAAGTAGTCTAAAAAACACATCTGAGTTACAAATCAACAGAAAAACATATATTTTGTATATAATGTTTAAGAACGTTAGGCTTAATTTATGTCAGTTTCAATATTTTGTATTGTTTACGTGACAATTAAGCTTATTTTGCCCATATTTCTCATTACTGAATTGCAAAAAGAAAAAACAGTATACATATATATATATACATGTGTCATACACAAAATACTTGTAAACTATAGACCAAATGAATGAAGACCAAATTTGGTCTATAGTAAACTATAGACCGAATTAATGAAGCTAAGGTTAATTTAAGGCCAAAAGATTAAGATATTTTGCATTATTTTATGTCAGAGCTTATTTGGCCCACAGTTCTCATACATATACATATACATACATATAGTTTGAACACTAATTTAGTTTCACAAGATACTTTGTGGTCTAGGCTATAGCCTCACATCTTTGTCTCTATTTTTAAACCCACATTTCATGAAATATTCAACCAATTATTTTAGCATTTCAGCAATAATGCACTCTCGTGACCTCCTTTTGTCTAGACAAAACACAGTAATGCAGTAACCTCAGATATACTCCTCACCTTCACATGCTGGTCCTGAATTCAGTGCCACGGGGTTCTGTCTTTAATTCCCTTCTTTAGACAGAAGTATTCGACACCCCTTTCATATTATTTTTACCTTTATATTTTACCTTAAGAGTTTAATTAAACCATTTGCCATCCAAAACCATTGCATCAGTCAAGTTCATTAAAATCTGTTTTGCTATTGTATGACAAAAACAAAGAGAAGCAATTGGTATATTCTTAGGGAAAACCTAGGTTAACATCATAAATAATATAAGTAGTAGGCTACTGCAGATTCAGTAGTCCATGTCTAAAAGGAAGTCAGACTTAGACAGTGAGTCTGCAATTTCAATAGCAACAATCTGTTTTTGCTATTTGGCAACATTAATAAATAAAGTTGTTGTGCTTATGGGTATTGTCATTGAAGATGAATATGAATATGAAATGGAACTCTGGTTGAACTGCAACATTTTATACCTAAAAATGCTAGATTTCCTGACTTTGTGGGTTTGATCACACATATCTACCAGCCCCCCCCCCCTTTCCCCCAGTCTTGTGTATGATATGAGCAAAACTGTGTGCTGTCTAATAGGATGAACTTGACGGGGATCACAAATGCAGATTCTGATATTCAAATGTTGCCTTGTCAGATTTTAAGGCGCCACTCAACTCAGACGAGCACAGCAAAACCGTTGCAAAGCAAAATATCTTATACACTCTTGTTTTTGCACTGCGGTGTTCCTTTAATGCACTCAAAACACATTTTTATCGCTGAATGTTTAAGCGGGCGGGTGAGAAAGAGGAGAAGGATCGAGTGTGTGAGGTGAATGGTCTGCAACACTGGCGCTGACAGAGGGGAAATCAGCGTGGGAGTAATTGCACTTTGCATGACACACAATGAATCTGATGACACACTGTGACTGAGGAAAAGCATTAACAGCGAAAAACTCAGGTACGTGCACACTACCTGCACGCTCCACTTAAAATGATTGTTAATAAATGTACAAACACAACAAAGAGATCTCAAATAAAATGACAAATCAATTTAAATAGAGCGTGGGGGTACATTTAATTCCTGAGACCACCATCTCTTCTACGCTTTCGTTTGGAAAAGTGGAGGAGCGACGGCTTAATGTCTCCATCCAGTGGCGGTTAATAGACACTGCACATATTTCCATCGGCACATTTGGTGTCAAACGCGGTGAAAGCAAACAAAATGACCATACTTGGAAGAAAAAAATGTGTTAACTGCTGCACACTTACGAATTCACCATATAGGGTGTTCTATTACTACCTGCCTTCGTTTTATAAAGATTTAGCTTCCAAAATAGATAAGTAGCGGTGTCCCCCTAGCGTTTGTTTGTTGTAAGACATACGCATGCGCAGACAGCCCGCCGCTGCTGGCGCATGCCCAGTGGAGATGCAGTCCCCGGGGGGCGGAGTGGATGCGAGGATGTTGAGTTTGTGACGATAAGCAATGTAAATGAAAAAAAAAAACCCCAATGACGAAATAACTGTGATCCAGGACAAGTAGCGGTCGCGAATTCACACGGTACTGCGCAAAAGGCCATGTAAGTCTTGTCACATTAAAACTGTGCAACCGAAATTAGATTATTTCAAACATGAAAAAAATGGTGACACTTGCAGTCGATAAGAACGCCCGATGCGGCTAACTATATAACGTTGGCACTGCTACAGTGTGCGATAGCATGAGGTTGTTTATAATATTAATAACGGCGCTCGCATCGGTGCACAAAGCGATTGCAACTTTTTCACATTACTGTGAAGATGTGTATTAAAACTGAGATGACGTCTGCTGCCATTAAAAACAAATAGATCGGTTTGCATTAAATATCAGAACGATACTTGAAGCTGTTCGGGCTGTCAGACGTCCTTTGAGATCAAGTGACCTTGTAAGTAAGGTTTTCTAAAACCATGTGGAAAAAGACTAGTGTTGTCACGGTACCAAAATTTCAGTATTCGGTACCGTGATGCGTTCCTCCTCTTGAGGTCGCCACTGCTTTTACGAAGAGGTTGCCAGGTTTTCACAACAAAACCCGCCCAATCGCGTTTCGAGGGGTCCCCGTTAAAAATCGATAAAATACGCATGTTTTGGCGGGGTTCCTCTGGTAAAAATCGCATTCCAGGGGCTAAATATCACGTTAATGGGGTCGTTTTTCAACCCGCGGACATGAAAAACAACCCGCGGCAACAGTGTTAAAGCAGCCCAATTCCGCGGGAAAACTGCGGACTTGGCAACACTGGAAGAGGATATTTTTCTGATGGCGCATCAAGAACCGGTACTTAAGAAAACCTGGTACCGTAACGTTTTAATTTTTTTAGTACCGATTTGGTACCGAAATACCGGGTCTTTTGACAACACTAAAAAGACAGCTGTGGAAACTGTGCCTTGAGGTTATGAGGTCTCTAGCAATGAAACACGCAGTTAAATTAATGGAGCTGTCAACGCTTTCAAAATCTTGTTTTATTGAGTAACTTAAGCGTAAATTAGATTTACATAGTTTGAAAGAAATGTCAGTGCTTGAAGATAAATGACCTAAAACCCTTCGTATCAGTTTGGACTACGAACTACAAGGGTTGAGAGACTATTAAGTATGCAAATATTACAATAACCTGACGGCCAGCGATTCTAACTGTTAATTTAAATCAACTTAGATTAAAAAAAAAAAAATCTTTCTTTTATTAAGTGTTAAAATCCGAAAAGTCCTTGCACACCTTAAGACCCAACCACAAATTCATTCTTTCTTCTTGCAAAATGGGCCTGAACTATTAATGACTTACTGCAAATTTGATGTTTATAATTGCTTGAATTCATAAGCATATACAAAATAGTTGTTAAATAAAACTATCCAATAGAATGGGAATGTTCCTGTTTCAAATTTACAATCTGCAACTGACTAACGTTAGCAAGCAGTGCTGCCAACTTAGCAACTTCTTGCTAGATTTAGCAACTTTTCAGACCCCTTTAGTGATGTTTAACAAAATAGCAGAGCGACAAATCTATTGACTTCTTGGACAAACCTTATCTAGTTTCCGAGACTCATCTAGCAACATGCTTTAGCTACTTTCCATTGAAAGTATTTGGCAACAGTGTTAGCAAATATCAAATCATGGTTTTGCTGTGGCATTACCTAAATTGTCCTGTTTTAAAAGGCAAAAGAAAATTTCATCTCGTCAAACCATTTAATGGGGTCAGACTCATTGGAGTCTGTACTTTAAGTTGAATTAACTGCAAAAGAAAGCTTGTATAAAGAGTGAGTTCAAAATCATGCTGAACTTTCACAACTGTAGAGTCAGTTAAGTGAACACAGCTTGGAAATCCATGTAATCCACACATTTTGTTTTGTGTTACAGATCATTTTAAGCCCAGCCAGCTGGCCGCCCACCCCGTGTGACCTCTGGAAAGGCTTGTTAGGAGCACTATGGGGAACACAAGCAGTGAAAGGGCCGGCATGGGCCAGGAAAAGGCCCACAGAAGGGATAGTCGAGGAACCAAGGAAGGAGACCGTCCTAAAATCCTGATGGACAGCCCAGAGGATGCTGATATTTTTCATGGGGTGGACATCAAAGTGTGTGTTGGTTCACATTATCTGTTCATTTATGAAGAATAGGATGATAATGTGTTCTGTCTTTTCTTTTAGGCACCATTAGAAAAAGAGGAATTCATCGATTGGAGACCAGACCTGGAGACCAATGAAAAGGTTCTAATTCTAGATCGACCCACTGTATTTCGGTGGACAGGAGCTGGAAAGGAAGTCTATATTTCTGGCTCTTTTAATAATTGGAACAATAAGATTCCTTTGATAAGGAGGTATGTAAGAGTTAACATGAACGGAAACGATTACAACATTTTTCTTAATTGAAATGAAGTAAAATATGAAAATTAGAAGAAAAAAAATAAAAATTAAATTGAAGTAAAAATAAAATAAATAAATAAATAAATAAAAATAGATAAACCTAAATAGCATGGCTGTCAAGCAATTACATTTTTAAATCTCATTAATTACTTGATGTGCAGATGAGCTAATTAATCTTATACTACAGCGCTGTAGAATGCTTGAATCTGATTGGCTGACGGACGTTCTAAGGTGTGCAGTTATTTTCAGGGAAATGCACAGCTAAAGTAGTTCCAGTCAGGTTACATGTCCAGATCACTTCGCCATATGATTTCAGTTATTTCAAAGGTCCTTACAGCCTAAAATAGCAAAAGAACCAAAACCAACAGCGACACTGATCAAGCAAATAAATGTAGTAAACAATAAGATAAAAACGACAAATTATTTCCATGTTTTTGCTACAAAATTACGTTTTATTATGTACGGAAAGCACATACTCTATTTCTCCCACTCTCTCTCCCTTAGAAACATACACACGGACACATACACCCACACAGAAACGTGTTGTCAGCGCTGCTCTGATCATTTTATCAGTAAAATACTTCAGCAACTTAAAAGCTACATGACATTTCTCACTAATAACGGTGCTGAGATGAAGATGATGAACTTGCAGTTTCGCTGTTAGTAGAGATGCTGCTGCCGAACTCACAGAGGTAATTCACACACGCTCACTCTCTCTCTCTCTCTCTCTCTCTCTCTCTCTCTCTCTCTCTCTCTCCCTCTCTCTCTCTCATAACTTCATTAATAACTGCATTAGTCTGCTCCCATTTTTTCAACACAATGGCGGACTGATGACAGCTCACTCAGGGCGGGTCTAAGGTAAGACGCTAGTGTCAATCAACTATCGTGGGAGGGGCCTGTGCAGAACTACGTCATTCTGACAGGAATCTCAGAACAGCCTGATTTGAGAAAGGGGATTTTAAAATAGAGATAAAAAAAAAAACACTGGGTGGATTTTTATCATTATAGGATGGAAGTGTACACACACTTCCGATACACATTTATGTTCAAATAACTTGTAAAGTGAATTTTGCATCCGATGACCCCTTTAATGGCTCAAGCCTCCGTTACTAGGTCTAAAGTGATGTTTTGGAATTAGCAATGGAGGTGTGGGATGAGATGCGTTAGAAATTAATCCCACACACGAGCGTTTTAGGTACAAAAACCTGACGAATGTCTTGAAATACAACATCTGAACAATATTTGAGGCATGGTAACCATAGTATAAGCGGAATAATTGACTCTGGCCCGTTGAATTATTAGAAAATAATGCACATTTTAGCAATAGGGTGTGCATTATTTTGGAATTATTCAATGGCCCGTTGTCAATTATTCCTTACATATTAATCACTAATCAATCACACATCTGTTTGGGTTGAGAAATTACCTCCCAAAAGAAAATTTGAAGTCATTATTGTTATTTGTCACTTTAAATATGTTAATAATTTGAATGCATCATTATTTCCATAATTAATCGCACCTAATTAATGTGTTAAATTGACAGCCCAACGAAATAGTAATAAAAATAAATGAATAAAAATAATAAAAATGTTACTGAAATTAAAATGAAAACTGATAGTATAAAATGAAAGTTAATTTGAAAAAAAAAAAAAATGTTACTGAAATTAAAATGAAAACTCATAGTATAAAATAAAAGTTGATTTGAAATATTGATAAAAATATAATAGTATATAAATAATTCTAATGTAGCACTGGTACATAAGTCTTCTGCTAAAGTTATTCTACTGATATCTTTAAGATAAACCTCAAATCCAGGTCATTTAACATAAATGTACCTGTTGTGTACCTGTTTCTTCAACAGTCAAAACAACTTTGTGGCAATTGTGGATTTGCCTGAAGGTGAGCACCAGTATAAGTTTTTTGTGGATGGACAGTGGACACATGACCCAACAGAGGTAATAGAGTCATCAATCATCATCAGCCTCCATTAGTACTTTGAAACCAACACAACACTGACCTTTTCTTCTCTTTAGCCTGTGGTGACCAACCAGCTCGGCACAGTCAACAACTTCATCCAGGTGAAGAAGACAGACTTTGAGGTGTTCGATGCACTCATGGTGGATTCACAGAAATGCTCTGACATGTCAGGTTAACGCAACCAACCATCTTCTAATCTTCTTTACAGCCATTTAATTATAAGAAGCTGAAAATGATCTGCTACATAACTTAGGATTATGCAGAAGTGGATTGTCCAGTCAGTCATGGGTTGTTGTGACACATTGTTTTTATTGATTATAGACCTGTCCAGCTCTCCTCCTGGGCTGTATCATCAGGACGCTTATGTACCCAAACAGGAGGAGAAGTTCAAATCTCCACCCATTCTACCCCCTCATCTCCTACAGGTCATCCTCAATAAGGACACAGGCATCTCTGTGAGTATCTACAAAAGACATCGCATTCAGGCTGTGATTATGACAGGTTTGATTGTCATTTTATCATTTTATGAAATGAGTTGATTCCATACTGTACCATATCAGTTCCCCAATGCGCAAAATGCAGATGGAATTGTGGAATTAAGTTATAAAAATGGAATTTACTATAAAATGTGGAATGTCATAGAATTTATATATCAAAAGTAAGGTTTTATAGATAATAAAACAAATCTCACTATAAGTTCTACAACTACAAACCACCAAAATAAAAGTTTGGTTTAACTTAGAAAAAAATAATGATGAGAAATGTATTACTATGTAGTAAAATGTACTTCTTAAAATAATAATAGTAATAATAATAATAATAATGCAACTTTTATGAAATATCTCATAATCAAAAGTTTTTTTAACCCAGTTTATGTGCAAAAGTGCATTTGTGCAGCAGATTATTAAATCAAAGTGTCAAGTTGTATTAATTAATTTGCATTTAATAATACAGAATCTAGAAAAATCAAAACAGACAACAAAGAACTGAAGAAATTCCAATAAAATTGAATTTAGGGGAAAAATATTTATAGTTGTATTTCATTGGAAAATTGATAGAAAAGTATGTTAAACACAATTGTACTTTACTTAAGAATCGATACAACTTTAGAATCTATAATATTATGAACTTGTATAGTTCTGCTTTGCTCTAAAATATATAATCTATTATTTACTATTATTCTAATCTGTTATTATATAATGTATTCTATTAAATAATGCTGCTCTTTTATAGAGTAAAACTATAGAGTTATTATATATATCTATTTATAGAGTTATTCTTTTGAGTGGTTTGTTTTTAAGTGAATAGGTTGACTGGTTACCAATTGATCACAGTCATCTGATTCATTAGTGAATTGATTTAAATTTGCGTTATTTAAAATTTATATAAAAAAAGTCACAAAGTTTAGTTTGCCACAAAGTGGAAACACTTTTTTCCCTCCGCAATAAACTACCATTTTATATAAGCATAAATTAAAATCTATAAAATAAATCTGTCTGCATGACCCCTTTGGGGGCAGAGACACCCAGATTGGGAGCCCTAATCTAAATAGAATAATTGTTTTAAGTTTATTTTTACAATTATTACTTAGAGCGTTTCATTTGCATAATTACATTGTAAGGCCCAAAATAGATGCTGTCAATCGAAATGAGTTCAGGTTAATGGAAAGACGCTCTTGTTTCCTAACAGTGTGATCCAGCTTTGCTCCCTGAGCCCAATCACGTCATGCTTAATCACCTGTACGCTCTGTCCATTAAGGTAAGAAACCAACTTAAAGAGCTCTGTGAGATCAACTGCTATTGATTTCAAGTCTGTTCTGATGACTGTATCTCCTCCGGCTTTCTGACAGGACGGCGTAATGGTTCTGAGTGCCACACATCGGTATAAGAAGAAATATGTCACAACTGTGCTGTACAAGCCAATCTGAGAAACATGACCATTTCAACACTCAACGTACATGACCTCTGTCTAGCTTGGCTGTTTTATATAGTATGTATTACTGTAAATCGGGATGTACAGAGATGCGCTTTAGAGGTAAATCCCACCTTATTGGCTATAAACTAATCAGAAACATAGAAATAGCTTAGATTTACAGGACAGTTAAGCACATATCTACTCTTTTTGAGGTTGGTACACTTTTTAAACACTGTTCAAATCGACTGAATCTAAACCAATATAGGACATAGAAGGAAGAGATGTGTTGTTGAATGTGAAAAATTAGTGTAAATAGAGCTTGACATGTTTGTTTAATTTAGTGTTTAAATTATTAAATGTGTGTGTAGATACATTATAGATATATAATAGATATATTATTAGGTAGCATAATGACATTTCAGCCATTTATCGGTCAGAAAAAGGCCATTTACCAGCAGTTTGTGTTTGGGGCCAAATATATAAAAACTGAAGGGTTTAAGAAACTTTGTTTCACTCGAGAAACTAATCAACTTTTTCAATTCCATGAAAAAAGTTAATATTTTTAATCCATTGTTTTTATTTATTTATTTTTTATCTTCTGCATTTTTATTAGAACAGAACAAAATAAATATAGCAAAAGTCTTTACTTGATGTAACTCTTAATCTCTTAATTAAATATCACTTTGAATAAATGATTCACCCCATTTAAGTTTTGTTTTTAGTTTTGTTCCTTGGACATTATCGGTAAGCAGCATATTCAAAATTTCGGGACCTTCAAAAATATTGGAAAAACATCTTGATATTTTGAAATCATCAGGATATTATGTGCAGGTAGACCATGATATCGCCCTTGAATATTATTTAGTTGTGTTGGCATATAATAGTTGTCATGGATTTATCATTGTTTAAACCATATGAAAGCTGATAGAAGATCTCTTTTGAGTGCATGTGTTTCATCTGAATCATATGTAAAAGCAGGGGTCTGAAAAGTGTTAAAACCTAAGATTAAAGTATTTGGGCACTTCTGGTTGTCAAATGTTAGTAGAAGATGATAAACTACACCTGGGTGAACTGACTACATGCATCCACTAAAAATTACCTTGAAATCAGTTGATTAAAATTCGTTGTACTTGATATATACATGATATTGGTTCATAATACTAAAATTCATGCATTTTAACTGGTCGAGATGTATGGAAATACCTCAGGGCTGCCGTATATTATCTCTGTCCATGATGATTTTGAGAATTATAGTAATACCTCACAGGATCATCTTGACTTTGAAGGATTAGGCTTAATCTGTTATTGCGTAAACTGCTGGCTAAAGCTAACTGGCTAATAAGCAGGCTAACAATTAATAATAAAATACATTTATTTAATATAGCGCCTTTAAAAGTTGCTTTCTCAAGCTTTATATAAAAGCTTTACACAAAGGCAAATACAACAATATAAGACAATACACAGTAAATATAAACGATAGATAACAAAGAACAACAATAGAAAACTAATCAAATATAAGCAATCCTGAATAAAAATGTTTTAAGAGAAGTTTCAAAAATATCTAAAGAATTTGAATCCCTAATGTCAGCTGGGAGAGAATTCCACAGTTTTGGAGCATAAAACGAGAAGGCCCTGTCACCCCTAGAGCAAAGCCGTGTTTTAGGAACAGCTAAGAGACCCCGTTGAGAAGATTGTAAATTGCGATTTGGTGTGTAAGGTGTTAAAAGATCGGCCAGATACTGGGGAGCGAGATCATGCAGATACGGTACCTAATAGGGAGCTAATGTAACGTCTCCAAGATAGGGGTTATATGATCACCAACCCTAGCCCCAGTTAGAATTCTAGCTGCTGAATTCTGCTGGTATTGCAGTTTGTTAAGAGAGGATTTAGACACTCCAACAAGGAGAGCATTGCAGTAATCAATTTGTGAAAAAAAGAGTTAATCAATCTTTCAGCAACAGAAAAGGGCAACATAGGCCGAATGCGTGCAATATTTCTAAGATCAAAAAAGGAGGTCTTAACCGTGTTCTGTACAAAAGGCTCAAATGACAGGGTGGCATCAAAGATGACACCAAGATTTTTTAGTTTAGTTTGCAGCTCTAGGGCAACACCATCAACTGACAGATCTATGGAAGCAGCATTATGCAGTTGGTGGGGAGAGCCAAGGAACATTACTTCAGTTTTAGAGCTACTTAGACAGATAATTGGTAGACATCTACAACTTAATCTCAGAAATACAGTTGGAAAGATGAGAAACATCCACAAATTGACCAGGTTTAGAATGTATATAGATCCATCTGTGTGTCATCAGCATAGAAGTGATAGCTGCAGCTCTAGGGCAACACCATCAACTGACAGATCTATGGAAGCAGCATTATGCAGTTGGTGGGGAGAGCCAAGGAACATTACTTCAGTTTTAGAGCTACTTAGACAGATAATTGGTAGACATCTACAACTTAATCTCAGAAATACAGTTGGAAAGATGAGAAACATCCACAAATTGACCAGGTTTAGAATGTATACAAATCTGTGAGTCATCAGCATAGAAGTGATAGCTGAGGTTAAGGGATCTTAATAGCTGAACAAGAGGGTAGATATAGATGCTAAAGAGCAAGAGACCAAGAAGTGAGCCCTGTGGGACACCAGTAGAAACAGGACCCACCTCAGATCTGTAACCATCCATAAAAACAAACTGACTGTGATCCGTAAAATAAGACCTAAACCAGTCTAGGGCAGTCCCAGATACACCAAAGACAGTTTCCAGTAGGTTAAGTAAAAGCAAATGGTCAACAGTGTCAAAGGCTGAACTAAGATCAAGTAGGATGAGAATCGACAGAGAGCCAGAATCAGAAGCTAATAGTAAGTCATTAATAACTTTAACCAAGGCTGTTTCAGTGCTATGCAGTTTCCTAAACCCAGATTGAAGGGGCTCAAACAGATTATTAACCATTAAATGGTCATGAAATTGAGACGTAACAACACCCTCCAAAATTTTAGCTATAAATGGAAGATGTGAAATTGGACAAAAGTTGCAGAGATTGTTCAAATCACGGTTTTGCTTTTTTAATACAGGTGTGACAGCAGCAGTTTTAAGTGGTTTTGGCACAACACCAGGGGACAAGGAATCATTTATTATTGTGAGAACAGCAGGGCACAAGTAAACAAAACAAGATTTAAATAAACTAGAAGGCAAGGGATCAAGTATGCAAGTGGAAGCTTTCATACGAGATACCTGTGCACAAAGAAACTCAGAATTAACTAAGAAAAAAATAGAAAAGGGTGTACCAGAAAAACGCCACTCACGCTCCAGTTTGTGACATTCCACCTTTGAATGCAAATCATCATTATACCAGGGAGCTGTATGTACAAAAGAGACATTGCGTGTTTTAATAGGAGCAAATATGTCCAAATTGGCAGCAAGGTATTGTTACAAAAAAAAAAAAAAGTATGCTCAGAGGAGACAGAAGACAAACCATCTAAGCAAGAGATAATCTTTTAGCAAAAACAGAAGGGTCAATTGATTTCCATTTACGGAAAGAGACAGTACGTGGAACAGGCCTTGAAGGATATGGTACCTCCAAGTTAAAAAAAAGATAGTTGAATGATCAGAAAGACCAACATCTACAGCAGAGAAATTTGACACAAAATCATAATTTGCCATAACTAAATCTAGCAAATGACCTTTACAATGTGTAGGAACATTCACAAATTGTGTAAGGTTAAAACAGTCCAACAGAGATAAAAAGTCCTTGGCCATAGAGCAGTCTTTATGATCAACATGTATGTTGAAATCACCAATAATCAGAATTATTTCAAATTTAACAGTCAGCAAATCAGAAAGCTCTGACATAAATTCTGCATTTGAGTTTGGAGGTCTATAAATTGTAGCAATAGCAGCAGCATTTATCAACAATTTATCATGTTTCTCCACAGATGCTGTCAATCACAATGTTATGAAATGCAAAAATGCTAGTCCACCCAAGACCACTCATACAACATGTCCAACACATACAAGCCAGGAAAGAAGGTGCAGTATAGGTGCAACACGTCTTGCCCTACTTAGAGTATCACGTTGTTAGATTACAGAAAAAGTGAGAACAATTTGTTATTACTCAGTAGTTACTCATGGTATTACACAGTCATATGAAGGCTTAAGAAAATGACAACCATAAAGTGCTCTGGAACATTAGCACAAGAAATGGATATAAAATACTTATTTTTAGGTCACTGATGAAGCAGGTTGTACAGTACAGACAGGTCTGTCTACAATATAGGTGTATTTCAGAAATTAAAATTACAGTTTAAAAATCACACTAATGGTTTTATGATCAATGGTGCCAATGCAAAACATCCAGCCAGGCCATGTGAATGTTGCATTATTCATTCTAAGTTGTGTTGTGTAAGTTTTATGTCTTAACTGCTGTAAAGAGACTTTTTTGGAAAAAATGATGTGGCTTAAAAATAATACTAATACTAATAATAACAATAATAATAATTAAATGTTGTCAATAAATAGAATCATAATCCTAAAAAACAATGTATATCTCGTATGCAAGACATTAAAATAAATAAATAAATAATACAATAAATAAATAAATACATTTACAAAAGGTTCTATTTGTAACATTAGTTAAACCAACAATGAAATACACATTTGATGCATTTATTAATGTTGGTTAATTTAATTTAATTATTTACAAGTTGTATCTATTAATATTTTTAAATATTTATTCATCTTTGTCAAATAAAGTTAATAAAAGTACAATTGTTAATTGCTAGTTCATGTTTGTTAACAAATGTATTGCTCATAGTTAATGCTATGCATGAAATGATTTTAACTACTAAAAATTTAATACAATCAATTAATAAAGAAATACATTAAGCAATTTAAATAAAAAAAAAAGAAAAAAGTTTGTGTATGTTGCAAAATATATACTAGAATATTTGTCTCCAAATTATATATTTAGCTTCAAGCGCATAAGCATAGCTTTTATATTAAAAGGTTGTTAAAATAATGAGAAATACCTTATAAATGTAGTCAAATGTATCCAAACTTTTGACTGGTAGTGTGTCATTAAATAATGTATTTTTGATTCATATGCTGTAAAACGTTTCTTTTACAAACAATCAATACTTTGTGCTCATGGTAAAAAAAAAAAAAAAAATCCATGTCACACTCGATCTGTTGGTTGAATGCTTTCACTTCTTTTATCCGATGAATCTTGCTTTTGGGATATTTCAAATATTGTTCAAAAATATTGTTCCTCACCACTATACATGATTTATACACAGCATTTTTGGGACCAGTGTATATAGATGAAAAAAAATTAACTTAAATGATTTTAGCAAATGGCTGCAATATAACAAAGAGTGAAAAATTGAAGGGGGTCTGAATACTTTCCGTACCCACTGTATATAGATGTCTGAATATAGATGTCCTTGTCCTCTATTTTCTAAGAACCGAAGACAACGGACAAACTGTAGCCCTAATTATTCAATAAAGACTGCTTGAGGTTTAACGGCTAATCTGGACACATTGCAACACATTCTAAGGCCAAAAAGGCATGCAATGGTTGTTTTGAAAGGCCCTAGAGAAGAAACAACTGCAGACGTCAAAGATCAGCAGGAATGTTTGGATTCCTGAACATTCAAACATTTTGTTTCCAGACGTTTTAAATTATGGTTCTTGCAATGCTGT